AATGCACTGGGATAATCCTTTTGACTGCACATTCCCTACAGTGGGGCCTTCAACTTTTCAGAAAAATGTACGTTTTAATACTGGTGTTTCCATGTTGTACTGTGTTTGGCTTGTAAGACAACGAAGACTGATGCCCTGCTGAAAAGTTTGTTGTAAGTATCTCCAGATGCTTACTCTTTCGTATCCACTGACTGATGGATCTCAGGTTCTTCCCTAGCTGTCCCGCTTGCAGTGTGAGTGCTTCAAGTATTATGCAAAGTGCTCTGCTCCCTGTTGTGCGTTAGGTAATACATAGCATTCAGTGACAGAGGGCTTCACACTGCTCTGGTTCAGGATCAAAATAATCTCTGTAATGTAGGCAACAACAAGAATGAGTTGAAAAATACAAGGCTTCTTTGAAAAGCTGCCAAATAAAACTGTAAAGCCCTGATATGTATACCTGGATTACTGCTTTTACTACTGTGCTGTCAAGCAGTATTGAACCCTGGTCTGGCCCAGTCCATATTTACCTACCTACTGGTGTAGCTGTGCATGGGACAAAGTTTGTATTGCCTCAGTAGTTTGCCTTGATGCACATTACTTAAGCCGCGAGTCCAAGAGCTCAATCTTTCATGCAGTTCATCTCCAGTTTCTAAAGGGGAGCATATCCTTGCTCCCACAAAGGGATGCTTTTCACTCCCAACTAGCTGCCTACAACCCAGCACTTCAGTCCTTAACTCCTCCATTCAGACCTTTGATTCCAGTTTTGCATGTTCTGGCTTAGCCCAGCTCTTTTATTGTCTTCCTCACTTTAGCAAATCATTGGTTAGTGTCATCTCTTGTTAGTATCTCAGCTGAACCCAGAGATTGCTCTCATCATTCCTCCTTCCAAAAACGAGCTGGTTGTGTGGGTACAATGGATGGAAGTGTTTTGTAGGAGCTACCTCAAACCTTGTCTTTACCTAACACCAAAATGTCAAATGTGAGCTTATTCACATCTTTTCTCAGGAGAGCTAAGGTTTGGTCTTACTAAATTCATTTTTTTCCAGTTATATTCCCCTAAAGTCCCAAACAAGTAGCATTTTATAGTCCTGCTACTCAAAGCTTAAAGTAGATATTTTCCTTGGGGCACTGAATATCACCCAGACAAAGCCTGTTCACTCTTTATGTCGCTCCATTTCACCAATATCCAGGCTGGGAGAACACTGGGCTATGGGCAGCCACACACACAGATGCATCCTCGTATTTTGTCTTTCTCCAGTGAGATGCATCTGTATTGAATTAACCACTGGCGGAAGAATTTAGCACATTTACGGTCAGTTTGTCCCTATGAGAATGTTAGAAAAGCTCAGTGATCTCAGTGTTTACCTGACACTTAATGAACTGCTTTTTGGACACAGCCGTTTTGGTATTTGGAAATGGATGACTCATTCAATTACAAATTTTTCAGAGCACTTCAGTAGTTTGTTCCCCATCCGGTCAGGTCTGACTTTATCAGCTTTTTCCCTCTTAGCCTGATCCACTCTTCATAGTTAATCTTCCCTCCCATATTATTATTTTTTGTTGATTTCACTCTGTAAGTACCAGTTTCCATATTCACCTTACCATATAGGCACCTGTAACAGGAAGGGTAACTTCAGCCTCAAAGTTACATGCTTTGAATATGCTGCCCCATGCTGTGTGGTGGATGAGCTGTTTCTGGTGCTTCAGGAGCTGGTTTGGAGGTTAGGCTGCCCTGAAAAGGAGTGAGCTGAGCAAGTGGATGATGTCGCAGCTCCTTCCAGTATCATTCTGTCCAGTAAATGGACTGCAGTACAACCCTGGCTAAAACCCTTTGTTTACCTGGTAGGTAGATCTGTTTTCAGAGTTACCATTTCTCATATCCATCTGTGACACCTGCTAGTTCTCTGTCCCCACAAAGAGCTGCCGGCACTTCATTTCTCTCACTCAAGACATATAATTTAGTACATTCTGTATGCCAGCCCTGAGTTTATTGTATCTTCACCTTGTCTTGTTCTCACATTACTCATTTACATAGATAGTTCTTATTTTCTAGCAGAATTATTTTTCAGGAAAGCTCAGTGTGACAGATTTCTGGGTATAAAAATTATAGGCTATCCTTCTCTATGTTTTCCCAGTTATCCAATTCTGTACTGTAAATACATGTAAGCATCAACATGCTAATTGGGATGCACTGCTTTATCTGAGGTGTGTGTTAATCTCCACTCTTGGAGTTCTTTCCTTGTCTGGGGAGCAGCACAGGAGGAGGGAAGCACACGTTCTTTTATTCACACAACTATTTCTCCTATCTGTTGTTTTCAGCCATCTAGACATCATAACTGGTGCTTTTTAAGCATTAGTATTTACTCAACATTCATTCTTAGCTTTTAGTTGGATTGCTGAGAAGGTTGCTCTTGTTCTGCAAGATTGCAAGTATCAGGCGTTAGACCATAGCTGTTGCCCTACTATATCTCTCTTATACTGGAGTTCTATTAAAGATGAATGCCTTTAGATGTGCTGCCTAGTAAAAATAAAAATACCTCTTAATTCACCTTTTCCCTGAGAGACATCTTCAGGTTATAAAAGTTATAAAATGTAATAAAGTGTTACGTAGTTTCTCATAAAAAAAAGACACTAAAGGTTGCTTGAACTCAAGATTCAGTCTCAAAGATTTTTGGTACTCCTTACAGGAGTCTGAAAAAAAATCAAGACACGAAGGTGAATGTAGCTCAATTTGAGTTGAATTTATAACCATAACCTAGGTACTGAGAGCTCACAAATGTATAGAAACTGGCCTTGTTGATGAAGTTGTATAGGATATGCAAGAAGCATCCATCTGGTGGGATGTTCAAGAGGGATAACTTTTATACATAAAGAGGGTTTGAAAGCACTTTGGAAAAGATCTAAGTTTTTATTATTCAAGGACAGATATTTTCTTCAGGTGATCACTTAAATAGTTTTTTTACTTATTTTCTAATGGTAGGTATTCATAACATTAGTCCCTAGGGTCTGTTGCTGATTTGAAGTTAAGCATAGAGTTGGAGGTTGGAAGACATGGAACATCTATTTGAGAGGACCTCACCATCACCAAAGTGCTATCAAATTATTTTTCAGATGTTGTGTATATAAAGCATAGAGAAAAGAATTGTAGTGTTGCAGGAGTCCAGCCATCTTTAAAATGGTGACAGAAAGCTAATAAATTGGACAGAGAACTAAACTATTACAGGATTTTACCTCCTGACTCTTTTAACACTCATTTTAAAGGCATTACGTCAGTTTAAATAGAGTTAGTACTCACTCACATCCCTTGTTGGATCAAGAAAGTCAAATGGTCAGTAGAGGAAAGAAGCAGATGAAAAATTATTTCCTACTTTGAATTCCATCAAGCTTCAACTGTGGGCCTATCTTAACACATTGTAAAAACCTTTAAAGTCGGTATGTGACAGTGGTGTCTAGTAATATAAGCAAAAAAGAACAAGAGAAACTGTTCCCTGACAGTAATAAAATCCGCATGCAAGGCAATATTTGTTCTTTGATCCATAAAAGCCAGATATGCAAAGTACAGCTTCAGTGTCTGCCTCATTAGATAAAATAGAGTCTAAATTGAAAGGGAAACAAAGTGTTTGTTTGCTTTCTTGCATTTTATTTTTTTAATGTAGATATTTTTTTCAGAGGAGATTGACCTAGCAGGTTGGCTTCTGGATATTGAGCTGGATAGAAGACTAGAATAGAATAATTAATTTGGAAGGGACCTTCACAGGACATCAAGTTTAACCACCTGACCTTTTGAGGGCTAACCAAAAGCTAAAGCACGTTATTGAGATCATTCTCCAAATGTCTCTTGAACACTGATAGGCATGGGGCACAACCCCTCTCTCTAAGAAGCCTGTTCCTGTGTCTGACCACCCTCATGGTACAGATTTTTTTCCTAATGCCCAGTCTGAAATTTCATAAGACTTTTGTTCTATAATCATGCCTCTTCTTGAATAGCATCTAGTGGTATTTAAAAAAATAAAATAAAATAGACTAAACCTGAGAATTTACATAGTTAAAAGATAAATCCTAAAAGCATGACACCTCAATTCAGTTTTGGTTCAGATTTGCTCCATTGGGTTTAGAAGGATCAATTTTTCTAGCATTGATTATGCCATTTGCATCCATTCTTATCCCAATTAGGTGAGCTGGATTGCTGTCACACCAGGACTTCCTGAGGAGAGGAATCCAAAGGAAAGTTCCGTGGCAAATCAAAGTGGAAAATGGGAACTCAGGCATCTTGAAGCAATGATGCATAGAGAGTTGTGGGCTATCTGAGATGCTGAAGTAGCTGTAAGAGCAGCCTACTACTCTGGCAGGTGTGTTTTGCTTCTCAGCAGTTATTTAGCCTAGACAGAGCAAAATAGAAACACTACTGAGGCAGGTGAAGGTAGCTCTGCATAGTGCTGCAGTGGGCCATGAAGATGTGGTCCATTAATTGCACCTAATAAAACCCTTTTGTGAAATTGTTTCCTGTGCTGTGATGAGGTAGTCTGTTTACTCTTGGCAGACTGGAAGGTATTGTTGTTGAATCTCAAATACTGTTTTATCAGAAAGAGTGGTTTATGATCACCATTTTTGGTGACCATTGGTGACAAATGGTTTGCCATTTAAAACTTAGCAGAAGTCACTTGCATTGCCCTCCTTCCCGCTGCTGTCTTCATCTCTTCATCGTCTGAGGGACATGTAACCCTCCTTCAAGTATTTTTTAAAGCATTTAAAAATCCTTTCCATTTTCTTTTCTTATAAAGCTCACTTAAACAGGATTCAGGGTGGAGCAGTTTTTATTTGCACTTGACTTTATCTTACCCTTCTCAGTTTATGTATGGGACTTGCTTTCCTAACTTTTGGGGTAGGATTGCCTGTACAACAGAGCAAAGCAGTCCTGATTCTGAAAGGGGCCTTTGAGTACTACTGTCTTGTGAGCAATGCTGGAATAATTGTGTTTTGCACTTCGATCACTTTCTAATTTGTCACCCTTCCCAAAGGAAAGTGGCAGAAGGAAGGGCTCTGACTACCAAACTTCATCTGAGCGCCATTCATCAAGACAATGCTGTGCTAGGAGCTGCCACCAAGCTCACTGTTCAGGTGAGTCCTATATCCATTAATCTCTAGAACTAGCACTGTCATAATTTCTTGTCCAGATCCTACACATACAGCAAAGAAAAACTAAGGTGTATGTTGGCCATCTGCTGATGCACTTGGAGCAAAAAGCTTGCAATTTCAGACTTACACTGGCTGTCCTTGCATATCTATCTGCACACTAGATGGGGCCCACCCTATATAGTGACTTAAAAATTGCATATCTGAAACCTTTAAGTCCAAAGAGAAATATCCAGTAGAAATGATCAAATGGCCCACCAGAAGTTAATTTTCAGCCTCATGGGCTGACAGAACAAGCTCTCCTACAGAGGGAAACAGAAAGGCAGTTACCTGCTTTAATTGCCTGACTTTTTATAAACTATTGTAAGGTAAGACTGTTAATGTTCAGCAGATATGATATTTGGAAGTGAAGACTCCATGCTGTGATATCTACTTAGTCACTGTACATTTAACCAGCAATCTTTATAGAGTGCTTGCTTAAGTATTTATGCTTATCTTTAATGGGAGAAACAACAGCTCAGTTTCTTGTTACTCTTATCTGACTGTTAGCTGTGTCTAAAACTACAGGCTGTTATGAGGACATCTAAGTTAGGAATGCAAATGAAAAAGTGCCTGAATTCTTCTTAAATGCAGTTTTTCTTCAGTCTATTAAAAAAATAAATAAATCAAAAACCCCAAACCTACAATTTTTCCTGGAAAGAGGCTGATGTGCATTGTCATTAATATCGCATCCCTCAGCACTGAACAGGAACATGGAGGAGGCTCATCTGTCATCTCCTTCACACATCACAGTGAAAAGATGATGTACAGCTGCCTTGGACATCAAGGGGAAGGGATGCTCTTCGTGCTGTATAACTCATGGGCAGCTGACAAGGTTAAAAACATGGTTTCAAGTCTGCTAAATTAGATTACAGATTTGATAGTCAGTTAGTAGGTTTTAATCCAGAGCTTTAGGGGAAATTTCATGGGTAACTTTGCTGTGTGTGTCCTTTGGGTTTGTTACGTGGACTGGTAACTTAAATGACACAGTACTCTGTCACTCGAGGTAATGGGCAGGTTAGGTGGAGAAATGCAATGAAGAGATAAATACATTTTTGTGTCTGTATTTACTTTGTTGCTGTGCTTGCATTCTGTTCTGTAAGTATTCTTTTGACCCAGTCTCAGGTGCATTTTCTTGTATAATATGAAGATCTAAAAGTCGACTTGTACTCAGATTCCTTGCTGGAACCGGATTACCCAGGTTATTTCAGAATTTCCAGAAATTAGACGCACTCCATTTGTTTCTTTTCAGAACAGATGGTGGAGTAGAATTTGAATCACTGAAGTGATAGTGGGAGAGAAGATACAGTGGGAAAAAAAAAAGGAAGTGAAGTGAAACTTTTCACACTTTTCAGCTTTTTGCTGATTCCCAGCTTTTGTTTTTATATGAAGAGTTTAATAGATCCAGCTTTCAGATTTGTCTCCATTACTTGGGTATCTATAAAATCAGACGGATAAAATCTGGAATACTCTGCATTTTTACTAGGTACTTAATGGATACTCATAAAGCATTAGACTTTCACCTCTCTGACTTGAGTTCAAGTCTATTTTAATGGGCTGATTCCTCCTTGGTGTACGTTCTCTGAAGTGACGGTGCTAAAATAAGGATTAATTTTCCCACTCTCTAAAATGAGATGACTGTATGAATTTAGCACAGTGCCTGAAGAAGGCACATCAAAGCCACTATCACTGGCAAAACTGAAGTCCTGGGTGAGAACTCGGTCTATTTTTAGATCATCCCTTTAAATGATTTCTGTGGAGGTGTTTTTGATTTATGCCACTGTATTGTCTGCTGTTGTGGGATCACAGACCTGGCTAACCTAGAAAAACTGCTGGCACAGAGCAGTCATGGGTACAGAGAGCTTTACTCCTGCTCCCAGGAGGAAAGGCAAAATTGAACCCTACATTCCTCTTTGCCGGGCTTAATTTCCTTTTAACAGCGGCTCTTGTATTCTATGTGGGGTGTCCCAAAAGGGTAGAGGAACATGAATTAGTGCACCTTGGGCTGTTCTGAGCTTGCAGTTCTCTCCCTGACACCAACAAAAAGCCAGAAATGTCTTGCTGCAGATTAGATGGATGAAAGATTTCCCCATCCCCCCCAGCCATAAAGCAGTAAATGTTTTTTTGTTGTTGGTGGTGGTAGTGTGTGGTTTTGTTTTTTTTTTTCTCCTTTTATTATTTCTGCTGTACTGAATTGCTCCTCTTAATGTACCATGCACGGAGGATGCAGAAGGCTGAGCACAGGGCATGTGTTCCCAGGTGCAGGAGGTTATGAGCTCAGTCATGCTGCTTTTCTATGGGCTCCCATTAAATCTGTCACAGGTGGGCTCTGTAGTTTGGGCTGTGCCAGACTTTTGCTGCTTGCTTACTGTTTTCCTCATTTTGTGTTTTCACATCTTGCTGTGCTTTTTGCTGCTAAGTGCTGAACTCCAATACCCCAATTCCCACTAATATCACCTTGCTCCTCCAAGGGTCTCATGGAAGCCAACCAGGCTACTCATGGCATAAGCATTTGATACAAGGTTATCTGACTTTCATCCTTTGGGAGCTTTTATCTTTATTTACTTGATCTGTCTTTGCTTCCATCTGTGCTTTAAACTGTGCTTCTGGGTCACGTAAGTGGCAGTGGGGTTGTTAATTAGACTTTGGCAAACTGTTGTGTGGGGTAAGCAGTCTAAACACAGTTAAAAAAAAAAAAAAAAGAAAGAAAGAAAGGAAAAAAGTCAATAAGCTCCCAGGGACAGATTCAGCAAAGTACTTACAGGAAATGCCTAAAAAGAGAGATGTGAATAGCCCTGCAGATTTCAGTGAGATTACTGACATACTTAAAAACCACACCTGTGATAAAATACCTGGCTGCACTGGAGTCTGGTCGGGGGATTGTCAGAGCTTTGCTGGGCTTGCTGAAGCCCTAATCCAGGGGCTGGTCTGTAGCTTCAGCACGGTGTGAATGCCCGCAGCTGTGCTGTGCCACAGACCTCTCCACAGCAAGATTTCCTTTCAGAAACTGCAGATCTTGGGGGCTTCAGTGCCAGGTTAGAAAAAGAGGAAAGGTGAGAGCACAGTGTTGCATGTCCCTGTTGTTCTGATGGATGAGCAACACGGTGAGGCTCTCTGGCTTTGTGACCTGTGACGTGCTGGCAGATGCAGACTTAGGGCTTAAGATCTGAGTCAGCTCTGCTTGTCCCTTGCCACTCTTCCCAATGATTTCCTGGCAGTGAAGCCAAGCTGAGTTAGAACGGAAAACTTTTCGGCAGCGTGTACGGTAGCTTTGGGAAACACGGTTGTGGTCAATTTTATGTCGGTGCCATCTGGTGCATAGAATGGCATAAAGAAAGAGGAAAGAAAAAAGGGCATTTGGAAAAATGCGTAATGGCAAGAGAAAAATGCAATAATGAAATATACGGATATAAAAGGAAAGGCATCATGTTTCATAACTGTGAGGGCAGAAAGACTGCGTTACTTAGTTTAACCCATTGTATCATATACACATGGTTTGCCACCTCCCAGATCCCCTAGATAGCTTTCCAACCTATTTTTAAGCACTTCTTATGATACAGTATCAATTACAGGGCTATTGTCAGATTGCCCTTACAGTTAAGAAACTTTCTTACTGTGCTATCTGAAAGCTTCAGCATACCACTGTCACCTAAAATACCAACCGTGCATTAAGCTGTAGGTGTTTGTGGGATCTTGTAAATGTCTCTGCAAATGTAAGCTCCGACGGCTTTCTGTTGATTCCCTAATTTAGTTAGCAGAAACCCTTTCTGCCTCCTCTCATCCCTGGTCCCTCTGATTCCATGCAGCCTGCTTTGCTACTAATCTTTAAAAGCTACCACCACCTGCCTGGGTCCAGACCACTTTCTGCTGAAAGAGGTGGAGCATGAGGTTGGAAGCGTTTTGCAAGGGGTGAAATGATGTCTTTACCTTTACCTTCATTTCCACTTAAAAAGTCCAGCCCAAAGGCACCAAAGTAAGTCACAGGGGATCTTCCCATAAGCTCAGATGCCCATGGGTGTCCCTTCATTTAGGCTTGGCTGTTCAGCTGAGCAAAGCCATATCACCGCTCCTGCCTGCTACATCTTTCAGAGTGGTGAGTCCTCTCTGAGGAGACTGATGTGATACCCCCAGTTCATCGGCGTTTCCTCAATATATAAGGCAGGGAGCCAGTCCCACTTGATATTTTTTAAATCAATATTTCATTAAGCAATGCTTTTATGGCATTTCAGTATTCATCTATAATAGCTAATATAAACCTTTTATCTGTGTATATCAAAGCACTTTGTGAAAGTCGAAAGCACAAAAACTCTGTACTAAAGACGAAGAAAAATGAGGCATGCAGAGGGATTATGTTCTTTGCCCAATTGCCCAGCCAATTAGCGGATTAATTCTTAATCCAGTTCCATATCCACTTGGCCATGCTGCCAGATTTTATCTCCTAAATATAAAATATTCTACATCTGAAAATATCTAATCAAGTTAATGACATAGCAACTCTGCAACTGAATTAATACTCAATTTTTAATTAACTTTAAAATAAAATAAAATAAAAGTGTTTGATTGGGGTATTTTTCTGAAAATATGTGGGCATTTCACTTCAGCATAAGATTTCCAGTTAATGACATATTTAACACTCAGCTGTTTGGCAGCATGTTTAATTTTCTTTCTTTTAATGTTTCACTCTGGTTGTCTGGAAATACAACTGGGAGAGAAGCCTGTGTCACACAGAGGCATTATTTCTAGGTTGTTTTATCACTAATACTTAAATGAAGAACACAAGTGGAAAGCAGTGTTTATACAAACTTGATGTTTTCTGACTCCCCTGTATTTTTTTCAAGGGGTTAGCAGCTTTCTATTTCATAGCAGGAAAGCAACCAAACCAGAGGGACCTCACCTACACAAACACATTTTGTGAGATAATTATTCGACTGACATTACAGAGCTTAAAAACAGTCAGACTCCATGGTCTCTGAAGAATGAATTCATTATGTCTTAAACAAGACAAGATTTTCCTTTGGGAATTTTATGTCTGTCTGTTTTTTGTATATATATATCTATAGTTTACCTGTTCAGGAACGAGACAGGGAGAATAGATAGCTCTGCTGAAGTTCATACTTTTGACACTCCATTTTTTTCTTCTGAAGGAAAAAAAAAAAAAGTATCTTGCTATTCCAAACATAACCTACTTCTCTTTATGTAGGCAGGCACACGCTTCTCCCCTCAGCTGAGACACGAGGCCCTATTCTTAGCTCCACTTTCATTTACGTTGTGCCTTAAGGCAAGATGCACAGGATATAACAGCTCTGTACTTATGACTGTTTTAAACTATGCAAAATTAGAGCTATCTGTAACGTTACGGGCCATTTTGAGGATATGCAAAAGGATGCTAGAAACCTATTATAGAAACCCTATCCGAGGAAATGTAACCCTGACAAGCGAGAAAGGAACATTAAAATTGTTTGGAAATATTTGGAAACAGTCACCCAGGAAGGTATATAACCAGTCTGCTCTTTTGTCCTCTGGCAGCCACAGGCTGGGAGAGCTCTGTAGTGAAAAGGTCCACTCCCCAGCTAATGCAGCTCACACTGTTTCAGTGACATTGACCGGTACAAACCAACAAACTAGCCCTCACACCGTTCACCACGTTATCGCTACAGCACTGCTTCAGTGTTATCTTTCTCCAGTTTCTGTCGGTTCTGCACCTTACCTCTCCCGCCTGCCTCTGTGTGAGGATGAAAGGAGAGCAGAATGAGTGCTCTCCCAGAGATATGACCTTCATTATCCTAAAAAAAAAGAAATGAATTCACAAACATCACAAAGAACCTGACTCTTTGTAAAGCAGTGAAAAAAAAAAAAAAAAGAGTAAAGCTTCTCAGTGAAAATTCTGTGCATGCAGAGTTTTATTTCAAATGCCCTTGAATAAGTCCACAGTATGTTAAGGAAAAGGAACACTTTGGGAACAGTTCTCTCCAAATCTCAAAAACTAGGTGTCAGCATCAGTGGCTGTGGTTTTGCTGTTCAGTCTCCAACATCCATAACAATGATTTATTCTTCAGGAGCTCAGCTGGTTGCTGGTCATGTCGGGCAAGTAGGTAAGTGCCCTTGGGAGGCCATGGACCACTTCTCAGACCCTCTGACCTGGAACATGGGCAGAGGATGTGTTGCACTGCTGGCAGTACTCTGGAAATACAACCCACTGAATGGATTTACTGGAGGTTACTGGTTGCTTTCCCACTGGAAGGGGGACAGGGAGAGCCCTCCCTGAGGCCTGTGCAAGTGGAGCACCCCGTAGAGACGCTGGGGTGCATCTCCTCAGGGTTCATCAGGGCTCATTTCAACATCTGCTTCCTTTCTCTCTGCTTTCAAGGTGCGTAGCCAGGGGAGGGCAAAGCAGCAGTGAGAGGACAATTCATTTCTCTTTCACCCTCCCCACCAAGTACCTCTGGGAACCACAGGGAAGCTGGCTGGCAGTGGGCTGCAGTCAGCCTCATCAAGCACAAGGCCTGACACAGGGATGGGAGCAGGAGCCAGCTCAGCTTATTCTGCTGTGCTGGTTCTGCCCTGGTGCCAGCAGCAGCTATGCTGATTCCTTGTTTGGGGATTTGGAGGTAATTTCCCCTAGGTGATGAGTCTGGAAAAAAAAAAAAAAAAGCTGTAATGGTTTTTGAGACAGTTTTTAGGCCTTTAGGTGACTAGCATCTCAAGTTTGAGTTCTGGGCATTTGAGGAGTTGGAGGGGACCTGTCTTAGACCCATATTAATCAGGGGGCTGATTGAGTAATCTGGTTTCCTTCAATGGCACATGTCTCCATGAGGATGAAGGTTCTGGCTTCAAATCAGTATCCCTGGCTGTCCCTGAAGGTGAAGAGAAACCACAGATTTCATCACCACAGTGAGGTTTTTAGTAATTAGAGCTATTGGCATGCCTTGCAGCTAGTGCTGTAGCAAAACTGCCAGCTAGTTGGATGTCCCTCCTCTGGGTAGTAATGGTAGATAGAGATGTATCTTCATAATTGACCAGGCAGGGATTTATATGCTCACTGGGCTTTCTTCACAATACTTCTTTGCACAGCACAAAATTATCTTCTGTCGTCTACCTGATTTTTCCCTTGTTATACCACACAAATACAAGCAGCAAACAGAGTGTAGTGCTTCTGCAGCCAGGGCACGTACACTGAACCCAGAGCATCTACATGGATGGAGAAGGTGCCTCAACTCTGCTATGTAACAACAGTGACATTCTGGTACCTCAGTTCCCCAGGACTTCTTCTCTTCTTCTGTTGTGTGAAAGCCCCTGAATTGAAAACTGGATGCGGTGGTGTCTGTTATTCCATAAATAGCTCTTCCTTCAATATAGGTTTGATCCAAGACTTCTGAATGGTAGGAAGGAACCATGCTACTAAAAATTATTTGATATATTCCCCAGCAGATCAGAAAAATGAAAAGATCCCTTGGTAGCCCAAGTGCAGAGGCAACATCTGGAGTACCTGGTGTGATGGTTTTCATGTACCTCACAGCATTTTTTTCAGATGGTGGTTCCAGAGTCTGCTTCAGATGCTAAAATTACCTGTGCTGCCGCAAAAATGCGATCTTCAGGAACTAATTTTGTAATATGTTAGAGCAGAGCTCAGCTCTGAAAAATAATATTGGAAAAAAAAAAATTAAGTCAATGAGTCCCTATTTATTGTGTTTCATAATCACTTGGGATCTGTATGTGAAGCTGTGATTTCTCATTGTCCTTGCATTGTCCCTGGTAAAGAAAATGTTGTGAAAGCTGATGAAATGAGGAAAACATTCCACTTTTGTTAATGCTGTTTTTGTTTGTTTGTTTGTTTTGTTTTGTTTTGTTTTTGTTTTCCTCTCTCAGTGGTGCTGGTTTTATGAGGCTAAGAAGTAAAAGATAGTAAGATTCTATTTCAGTCACCTGAAGTCAGCAGATGTGACAATTCACAGAGCGAGCGGGGTGGCTATGTGAGAAGGTGCTGCATTTGCAGTCAATTTTCAATGCAGAGCTTCGCTGTAATTTCTCACCCCTGGAAACAGATGACTGTTTTGAGGAAAGGCGTGCATTTTCTCCCCCAGGAGTAACAGCTGTCCAGACATGGGAAGATAACTGCCAGGGACCTGACTGCTAATCTCTGGTGTATTTCAGGTAAGGACCATTTACCATTTGCTAACCCTTCCAAACTGGAAGTCAATCCTCAAGCACAGCTGGTTAGTCTACGCGGGGCAGATATTGCCTCTGGTACTGTGAATATCTTCCCCTCATGACCCATCCCTGCACATCCCTGATTGGGATGAACCTACATCTTCTTTGTGTTCTCTAAAAAGTGAATTTGCTTGCACGGAGGATTCTCTCAGGTGTTCAGAGAGGGAGGCTCTGGGACTGCGTTTGTGACTTTGGGGCAGACTGAGAGAGTGGAACGGGTCTGTCCAGGGAGCAAGCAGCTGTGATCAGCCTGGACCACAAACTGAAACAAAGCTGGACTTGTTACCCCAGTCCAAATGGTACAGACTTGCTGGCATGTGTTCCTGCACAGAGTGCCCACCGAAGAGCACAGGTTGCTGTTAAAAATATTGTTGCAACTTTTGCGATGCACATGGTAGAAGTTTTATTGCTATCTTTTGTAGCATGTGTTCTGGTAAGACAATCAGCTCTCCTCACTGGTTTCTGCCATCCATTCACACTCTGATAGCACCTCGTTGCTGCAGCAGTCCCGCACCTTTGGGCAACCTCCATCTGGACTCAAACTGCTCCAGACAGGAGTTATGCGAGGCAGGAAAGTCATTAGCGGTGTCAGGCAAAACTTAGCCAGCTCAGGCTGGGTGCAGATACCCTGTTCTGTGATGGCAACTCTCCTGGTGGCACAAATTCACTCACAGCAGCTGGGCAACAGTCCTGTTGGAGGAGACCTCCGCACCATTCAGGCAGAGCTGGGCTGTGGAGCTCCTGGTGGGCGATGTCTGAACAGGGCCCAAATAAGGCCACAGCAGGTGTCTGAGCGGTGCCTCCAAAGTGCCTGGAAGGCAGAGGTGCAATGCCAGTGCTGGGTTAGCTCTTGTACTTCCAGGCTCCCCCATCCCACCAGCCTTGACCCATGGCACCTGGTCCAGGCTGCAGGGCCCAGACCGCAGCTGGGCCATGGCAGTCTGAGCCCCTTCCTGGCTCAGCTCAGGTCTCACTTCCCCTGCTAAAATCCATCCTGAAACATCTGGCTTTGTTTTGGGGAGAGGTTGGCATGAGCGTACCATTATTTCTGTGGGATGCTCCAGGAAAAAAAAAATAAAGAAAGAAAGAAATCATGGACTGGTGCCCTGTGGAATTTTTCCAAATTAGGCCCTAAAGCAGGATAGGGCAAGGCCGCTGGTAACAGCAACTGGAAAAAAAGGTGTTGTGCTTCCCTGTAGGCATAGCTCAAAGTGCTGCCCTTTGGAAGGGACTTACATCTATCCAGGGGATTTTACTGTTCCTTAGGAAGAAATATTAAAACTTCTTTAAAATATATTTTGTGCACTAATCTGGCAATGTGGATTACCTGGAAAGAGGAAGCTAGCTCCAACTTCCCTTTGTGACCAAAGTGAAATACCAAATAAACAAATAAATAAATTTAAATAAATAAACAAACAAACAAACAGATACATAAAAATATATAAATAAATAAATAAAGACCTGGTATTGGTCTTGACTATGCATTTTATTAGGCCTAATTAAATATTCATGCCATTAGGTCACTAGTAACTGTCATTTCGTCATTGGTAAAGATATTAAGGTTTAGTTAGTGATTTTTTTTTTTAATTTTTATTTTCTATAAACTATTTCATGCAAGTGCTTCTGTCAAAAGCTAATTGTATTTTTTCCTGGCAGATTATCTTCAGAGATCTCTATAGGGCTGAATATTACATCTGAATTGACCACTCTCCGTATTTGCTCCTATTATTCTTGATAGGTGCTATTATACCTCAATAATGAGCCTGGTGGCAAAGCCTGGTGAATATGAAATAAACACATCATATTTGTATGGGCAAAACTGAAGCTGAGAAATAGCTCATTAGGCTTTTATTTCTTTGCTAAAAATGCTGTAAAATTATTGCTTTATCCTGGACAATAATTGGTGCTTTTCTCAAAAAACAATGCCAGTTGAACTTAATGCATTATGTCTTAGTGAAAACATAAAATACAGGGTGTATTTGAGAGGAAAACTACCAAAACCTGAAGCATTCTTCAGCTTGAAAGAAAAGTGAAAGGCTGCACAATTTTAAGTACCACAGTGACTATGCTCCATTGCTGCTTCATTGATAAATACCTATATTTAATGTATTTTTCAAGCAAGACAATCTTTACATTACTGAGAGCTCATTGGTCTGGCAGCCCTATTCAAATTAACTTCAGAGTTCTCAGACCAAAAATAAATACCTTTTGAAAGGAAGCTGAGGCAAATGTGCCACTTATTACCGCACAGCAGCTTGACACCACTTCAGTCCAAATTTCAAGCCGACTATCCACTCAGCAGGAGATATATTCATTTTAAATTAAACATGCCAGGAATCAGACTTCAAAGGGAACAAGACGAATTTGTTGTTTCCACACTGGAAATCTCTATGTCTGCATCAGTGAATGTTGGCTCTGTATTTTTCCTACTAAAATTAATTGCTATCCATGCTAAACTAGGGCAATTAGGGCCTGAAAGCTCTTGCACAGTATGTCTTGGTGGGGAAACCAAAGAGGGGGATGGGGGGAGAAGGGTGACCAGCAGCGAGCCAATCTTTATCAGGCATGGAGAAATAACAGGACCGCAAGGGAGCTTAGGGAAAGAAGCTCTGCTGTTTTAGTGAGCTGGCTGTTGGGCTAGGATACAAAACAGCTTACTGCTTGTGAAAACCTGGGATTATGTTGTGGGATCACGGAGATGAGCCTTGATCCAGCGTGCCTCTAGCAGCTGTAGTGAATGTTGTTGCTGGAGATGTATCCACCAGGATGGTATCTGTCGTGTCCATGTTTACAACAGGATTAGGAGCATGCATTTTAAGGGGTCTGCAAATCAATGGGAAAAAATTGGCTCAGATCAGGATGCTGGCTGACAAAGCTATTCTCTTAGAGCAATTTTAAAAGAGCAGACCACCTGCTTTTAGAATTGTAGCAAGAGGGCAAAGAAGTGGGCCTCTCTTCTGTGTCTTTTTTTTTTTTTTTTTTTCTATTATTGTTGCAGAATGCAGGGTATTGCTTATATTTTAAATGAAAGCAGTGGTTGCCCTTAACGAGAATTTAAGATGTGTGAGAAATAAGTGTGAAAGTATTAGTAAAAAATAAATTGATTGATACTACAGAGTAAGCTTTCATAAATAAGGAACTGTGTTTTGCTTCTCTTTTGCAGATTGCATTATGGTATCAAGGTCAACATCGTTTGCAAACGCATAAACAAATCTGGTGCAGGAATTACTGGGTGAAGTGCAATTCCCAGGAATATTTGGAGGATCACTCTAGATGATAAGCGTGGTCTCTTCTGGCTTTAAAATCCACACTTCTCTGAAATTCCCATTCCTTCACAGAGCCCTGCAGGCCTGGCAGACTGGCCTCACCTCCCTCACTTTCTCCTTCTCCCTCTCCTTCCTTGTCTTTCTCCTCTCCAGCAAACAGCTTAGGTCCATGTGTTCTTCCAGTGCAATGGATTTGGGTTGGTTTTGAATGTGTAATGTCTTGCTGGTCTTTGTTATTTTTGTGTGTGAGATCTCAGGTGGGCCCCAGGAAGATGCCTGGCTTTGAGCATGGTCTCATGGTGTGACTTTGGGCTATGTGCCTGTGGATGGATATGTTTTTGGGTGAAAGCTTCTGGTTGGGTGCCTTGTCCTGTCAAAGCTGTCAGATTGCTCATCTCTCTGGTTTGGTTTGGTTTGGTTCAGTTGCCTTTGGCATGGCAGCAGTCAGGGAGGCTGCAGCTCGCTGTGCAGCAAGCGTAACGAAGTCTCAGAGGGCCACACACCTGTGAACTCAGCATAGCTTGCACAATTAATAACACAATTAAAATCTGGGACTTTGAAACAAAGCCAGTCATTTCTCCTGATTGTTGGCTGAGGCCTATTTGTACAGGGAGAAGAATGGCAGCATGAAATGAGAAGGATTACTGAGGGAGAAAACATAGCAACAGCACAGCCTCGTCACTTAGTAACAGGGAAGAATTGTGATGAAGAAGGAATGAACGTATATAAATAAAATATTCAGGAATATACATATTCATTAAAGCAATATCCAGAAAACAGAGAGGTGAAAGGCAATAGCTAAGCATCTAAAAATGCTCTTTAATGAAAAAGAATTTTAAATATCTGTCTTCGCCCTTCAAAGCTGTGTGATGGCATTATCTTCCCACGTGAAGCTATGCTGTTTCATGTCTTCTTATGTTCCTCCCCCCATCCCTTCACCCCAAGTGCCAGGGAGGTCTGACAGATGAACCTTCCAGGATCGCTTTATGTTCCCAGACATGAGTTGCTGGTTTATTACCCTAACCACGTCTATGTGAGTAATGTTCCTTATGTGTCGTCATGCCCAGCGCTGATGAATACACAGTGATATATTTCAGCTCCAAAGAGCATCCCAATTAATTTGCCTGTTATGGTCTTTTGCCCCAGAACCAAGAGCGTGTTCTTCACTGTTGTGATTGCTTTCCTTGCCTCCTGAACCAGAAGAAGAGGAGAAGCAATGAAGACAGAGAAGCAATGCTGGGTAGTAAATGAAACTCTGTCCACACCTTCACACTTATATTTATTCCAGAGATGTTGGCTTTAATTTAGGGTGGGAAAAAAAAAAGAAACAACAAACAAACAAAATCAAAACCTCAATAATCTGAAATTCAAATCAGTTTTGGGGAAGAAAGAATGAGAGCTTGGAAGCAATTGCAAAACAAGATTTTACGTTATTAGATGTTGTTCTCCTGCCTTGGGTATTTAATCAAATGCCCAGGCCTGTTCCCACATAAAGTGAAAGATTAATCATCACACTTATAAATCATTCTTCTCATCTCCCTCTCATTCACACCAGACCCGCTCCCTTCTCTTTCAGCGGTCTGGAAACTACTGCCCCTTATCTTCTGGTTCTCTTTTTCTGAGGGCTTAACTTGGGCTTGTGAGTAAATGTTAGGCATTCACCTTTCTTGCTTATTTTGTATATGACAAATTGATCACAGGGATGAGCTTTTCTCTTCAATCCACTGTTTTTAATAAATATTTTACCTTGCAGTACTGAAACACTAGTTATGAATTTTCATGAGCAACTTCCCATAAATCTTCTTAACAACTCTTCACAGAAACTGGGGCTGTAAAAGCACTATGCCTGGCTAGGCACAGGTCATCTGGTATTTTGTTTCTCTTTCTCCCGTTGAGTACTTTTGGGGATTGAATGGAACATTTAACACAGCAAAAGGTGCTATCCCAGACTGCATTCATCTCAGCCAGTGCAAAAATTTAATGTGACTGGAGGCTATACAATGTGTTTGTGGGCTGGTTATCAGTTACTTTTGGTAGATCCCTAAGATAAAAATTGCTCCTGTTTGGGAAATACTCAAAAGAATTCACATTTGTGTTTGGATGTGTACCAAGATCACATTTGGTGTTTTCCATCTGAAATGTTCATAGTAAACTTAGCAGCATGTATTTAAAATTAAAATGCATTTAAAATTTATCTTGATGTATAAATATTAACGGGATTAGTTTTGCTGTGCCGCACGAGCCCACAGTCCACAGAGCCTGATCAGGAGCTGGTGGGGCCAGTAAATGAGCCCCACATGAAAAGATCCACTGGTGGAACATGAGGACACTGCAGAAGAGCTGAGCAAAGGCTTTGCCATGGTGTTCACAACAGAGGCGCTGTGAGCAGGGAGTGAGCCTAAGGAGCCTCCTCCAATGGAGGTGTCAGGAAAAGGCATGTTAGAACAAATTGATAAAACCAAACATTAACAAATTCTCAGCACCAGATGGTGTTTACCCAGGAGTCCTGAAAAAAAAAAAAAAAAAAAAAAAAAAAACACAAATAAGAAATTTCTGAATTACGAACCGTGTGTAATCTGGCACTACAATCAGCTCTGGTTTCAGAGGGATGGAAATGGAAATGCTACACCAGGCTTTGAACAGGGCTTCAGGGGAGATCCTGGGTGCTCCTGGTCAGTCAAGGCTTTCCTTTGTCGTGGTCACAGATATGGCTGGAGTTTTGAGAAGGAGCACGGGTGTTGGGAGGAGGATCAGACCTGACAGCCACAATAACTCTTTGAAGAATTTAATGATTTTATTTATCTGGGCTATGTGGCTTTCAAGACAGCCTTCAAAGAGCAAGAAAGGCTCCTAAAAACCACATTTATTACGGAACAGGAGAGATTACTCTCTAGTAGGTTAACCCCAGAAAAGATAGGGTTGGAAGGAATGGTCACCTTATCTGTCAGGAGGTCCCACAAGCACCAGTCCTGGGCCTGATGTTCAGCATCTTCCTCCGTGTCCAGGAGAAGGTGGTACAAGCAAATGGTGGCAATGTTTACAACCATGTTATTCAAGATAACCACAGCTAGTGCTGACTGTGAAGAGATGCTGAAATAGCTCACCGCACCAAAATGAAATTCTGTGTTGGGGCTGCCATGGGAGAAGTGACTACATATACAAACTTGCAATCTCTTAGCTCAGTAATGAAAAATGAAAGACAGCTTGAGTCATTGCAGAGCATTTGCTAAAAACACCCCACCGTGACTCAGTGGGCAAGCTGGCGGTCAGATCTGAAGCAGGGAGGATCTGCTTCTCCCCACACTGCCCCCATGCATCGAGGATGCTGAAGGAGAAGCGGGCTCGGGGAGCCAGCTGCACACTGCTTTTACACTCAGGAGAATGGAAGCAAGCTAGTGGTAGGCACTGTCCTGTCTTAGCTTCCTCCCTTCCCTGTCTGAAAACATTACTGCTTCTCTCCCTGACGAAGGGATACTCAGCTCTCTGCTGTCCTTGTACTATCTATGTGAAAAAAAAAAAAAAAAAAAAAAAAGCCAAGATTAACAATGAATGTAGCTGCTTTTTTCAATTATTCTGTATATGATTTATTGCCTTATTATCTGAGACATGAAGAATGCTGTTAATGAGAATATATTGGTTGCAACAGCTTATTGGTTTTATCTTGGTGACTTTCCCTTTTTTATCATGAGAGCGAGCAGTGTATTTGCATCTATTTGACATTTGAAATGTTTTGCCTGTAGTTGATCTGCAGCTCTGTGCAGCATGATGCAGGCTAAGAAAAGCCCATTTCAGTTCTTAGGACAGGTGCAAGATTAAGCATCAAGCATCTCACTTCTAAAATTGCTTGTGATTGTTTTCTCCTCCATGAACGTCTGCATAGTTAGCAACTAACTGCATCCAGAGATCAAAAGCTAAATTGTCTCAGACAGGAATTGCTATATCAGAGCCTAGTGCTACTTGTACTGTACTTTAAGCAATCAGGCACTTCCACTCATCTTTCTTTGCTGGAGGTGAGGCAGCAGGCTGGGCTTGCTCTGCAGCTAGAGACAAAAGAAAGGGGAAGGACCATGTGGCGAGCAGCTGCACCTCAGAGCTGGGGAGAAGCACGGGTTTCATGGTGTGACACCACCCTAAAGCATTGTTGTCTCTTCTGCTGGGCTGGAACAGCAAGCAGAGGATCATCGACAGAAATACAGGATATACTCTAGGGTAGTGCTAGCCTGGCAGAAATGCCATGCCCATAAATGCCCCCTACACTGCTCTATGCCCACAGGTGGGCATCCACTCACTAGGCGGGGGTCCAGGAACTCGTCTGCCCCACTGGGGAGGGATGCTCAAGGGGACCTTGCGCCACAGGCAGCACAGGCACAGGGGCGGTGTCTGTGCGGCTTTTGCACAGTGATTTGGAGGGAAGCCCCCGATGCCTTCACCCGTAATTGCCTTCATTAGTCCATTACTCTCCTCTAGGGGAATTTTCTCCAGAAAGAGAAGACGTCATCCCTTGGAACATTTGACTGGTAGAACAGAAAATCTACTGTCAGCTTTTTTCCTTTTTTTTTTTTTTTTGAATATATTCTAAATTGAACTATCATATTGACAAATTAGTATTTAATCCTATTGCTCTAATTCAATCATTTGCCTGTGCATTAGGATAAGAATGATTTGCATAATAGTCTTCAGTCTTCTGTTTAGAAACAAAATATTTTGATATTTGCTTGTGCTAAGTGGGATCAAACTGCGAACAGGCGGCAAGCAATCCCACGGGAGCTATGCTGGCGCTGGCTCTGCTGGGCAGCCGCTGATGCTCCCTTCCCTGCAGGCAGCATCGCCTGGTGTAAATGTCCTTCCTTGGGAAATCTGAGGGAAAAAAAAAAAAAAGAGTAAAATAGCATGCTTGCCCTGTTGAGAAGTGGTTAGGCTCCACTTGCCTGAGTCCATTGCAGACTGCGCCACGGGTGATGGTTGTAGCAAGCCAGCCTTTGTGAGCAGTGTTTTCCTTCCTCAGAGCAGGGTAGGTCTGTCAAAGGGATGTAAACCTTTCATTAGGCCAGCAGAACAGGCAGCTCACAGGTATGGTAGCCAAAGAGATTGCTGCACCAGGTTTTCCTGGGGAGAGCTGAAAGTGTTCACTCCCTGCGCGATGACTGGAGGGCTTGCAGGGACCTGGTGTGCTGCGGGCCCCACTGCAGCCTGCTGCTGAGCTGTGGGTTGGACCAGCATCTTCAGGGAGTGTGCCCTGCCCTGTTGCCCAAAAACCCTTCTCTAACAAGAAGCTATATTAAGAGGTAAGATAAAATGTGTCTCTCATGCCACCATTGCACTGGCGCCCTTCGTCCACTTCACTTCCTTTTCAGTTCCCTCTTCTAGGCATTTTCATTTTTTGTTTTGTAGCTGGTTTTTATGCTTAACATGGAATGTTCCATGGAAATTTTACATTTGGTTCCTATAGCTAGTGGATAACGTTTTCTGGATTGATTAAGTATCCAGATTCTTACAAAGGTAGAGCTGCCATGTCACGTGCCATGTATGACTTCAGGCACCTGCAAAGCTGCAGCCCCTTGTGCCAGATCAGTAACTTCAGATCAATAGGAAAATCACTTTTTCTCCTCGCTTTTTGTTATACCTTCATTTTCCTGTGTCCAGATGCTACTCAGGGAGACATCATCAGGGATTTGTCATTCCTCTAGCACAAACTGGTATTATCAAAACAGTTCTGCAAGTAGTACTATCAAAATACTTTAATCAAAAGCAATTCTAAACAATAAAGACAACTGCCTTAATAACTCATGTTTCTTCAAGCTTTACTTTTTCAATTGCATTCTTTTTTTTTTTTTTTTTTTTTCCCTAGGAAATAATATGGAGATGAAGGAATATTTCTACAAAGAGGCTGTTTTCATAAATTTCCTTTGAATTTGGTACATATACTGAGCAGGCCGGTGAGATCACAACATGTGCAGACGTCCACAATGTGTCATGTTCTCCACTATATTTTAATATATATCTTTTTATTAGGATGTATTTAATTCAAATTAATAACCTTTGAAGAAAAGGCCTTTGTGGATGTTCTAATTTTCCAGCAGCTGTCAATAGCCTGGGGTCTGCTTGTTGGAAGAATGCATTTTAGCATTTTCTTTTCTCCATTGCTAAATTGTATGCAAACACTGCCTCTGAAGCCGTGTAAACTCCATTTTACATTTGGAAATGATAGTGATGGAGTGTCTTTGTCTGCCTGTGGTACCTTTCATGAATTCCCCCATTCTGGTCTCCCAGCAGGGCAGGAAGGCAAAGGATCTCTTCCTGAAGTCCTGAGTTTTTCCAGCACGTGTTGTGTTTAACACCTCTGTCTCGCTGCCTTACCCAAGGTGGGCCATGTCCCCTGCCCAGGAGAAGCACTGTCCCTCTCTCCATCTCATCTGCATCCTCTGTGTCACCACAGCCCCCATCTTGCTGCCCCAGCCCTGCGCCATGTTCAAATACAATAAAAAAGAAAACCTGAAAATCTCTCTCCATACTGTGGGAACTCAGCAGCTCTCTTACCCATTGTCTCATACGCGAATAAAAGCTGTAATGGTGTGTTTAAATAACAACAGCAGATGCTTTTCTCCTTTGGGAATCACTGTGCCTTGAGATCCTCATAACACACCAAGCTCAGGCTTTGGTTGTGTTACATAAACAGATCCCTGTGCACAATTGTGTAATTTTTCGTCTGCACTAGGAACCCATACAGAAATGCAAAGTGGTCCTCTGGCTCATAAGGAGTTAATTTTTTTTTTTTTTTTTTTTTTTTTTTTTTGTCCCAGGCCCTTTGTTTTATTTTCACAGTCGTAACTGATACTATAAAGCCCCCAAAACACTGGTAGTCCTGGGCGAGATAAGTGCACAATGTGCCTATCTCTGTACCGGGCAAAGCTGGCAGCCGACGTACAAGCACTCCGTGGGACGTCGGGCCTCACTGCTGATAACCAGCGCTGGCACCGAGGAGGAGCTGCGCACTTCTGCCTGCTTTGTTTTCTTTTCCAGATAACAGTTCATTGTGGGAAAAGGCAAGAGCTGCTGCTGGGGTGGACTCGGCGCCCTTGAAACACATCTGTACTCTCTCAGCTTTTCTTCCCAGTTTAGTCTCTGGTGTTTGTTCCCCTCCCTCTTTGTCTGCCCACTCTTGTCTCAGCCAGACTTCTTTCTGGGCCACAGATAATTTCTATTGAAACCAGTTGAGTTGCACCAATTGTGGGATGTTCTCCATGGCACTCCAAGTTTAATCTGCATTGATGTTAAGATCCACATCTCCCCTGAATGCATGCTGGGGTGAGAAGTGTCTGTTTAGCTGTTCCTTAAAGCAATACATATTCAGGTAGTTAGCCTAATACATCATCTTGAGAGACATCGGTGGTACAACCACAGCTCCACATTTTGCAGCGCTGAAGGGTGCATGAACAGGCATACAGCAAAGGCAAGGTGAACACAGTCCTGGTGCTAAGGGACGTGCTGTCCGAAGCAGGTTTTTGGAAGCAGACACGTGCTATCCCTGAGGAAAACATCATTGGAG